TAAAAAAATATATTTTTAAAAATATTTTATTTATTTATTTATTTATTTTTTGGTCTTTTTGAGACAGGGTCTCCCTGTAGCCTGAGCTGTCCTGGAACTCACTATGTAGACCAGGCTAGCCTTGAACTCATAGAGATCCGCCTGCCTCTGCCTCCCAAGTGCTGGGACTACAGCCATGTGCCACCACGCCCTGCTATTTAATTTTTAATGTGTACGGGTGTATTGCCTGTATGTATGTGAGTGCACCCATGTCATGCAATGCTGCGGATGTCGGAAGAGGGTGTTGGATTTCCCTGGAACTGGAGTTAAGGACGGTTTGTAGCTGCCATATGGGTGCTGGGAATCGAATCTGGGTCCTCTGCAAGAGCTGTCAGTGCACTTAATCGCTGAGCCATCTCTCCAGCCCCAAATAAAATATTCTTAAAATTTCTTTTTCTAAAAATAAATTTAAAAAAAAACACTAGAGAGATAGGGAATGTCACCATTTTGTGATTCATTATTATTATTTACATGTACAAATATTTTGTCCACATGTAAGTGCACCCATGTTATCCAATGACCATGGAGACCAGAAAACAGTGTTGGACTCCTGTAACTAGAGTTAACAGAGGGTTGCTAGTCACTATCACTATGTGGGTGCTGGGAACCCAACCTAGGTTCTCTGCAAGAGCAGCCAGTGCTCTTAACCACTAAGCAATCTCTCCAGTCTCCAAGTTTGTGATTTATTTTTATTTTTATTTTTTTGATCTTTTTGGTCTTTTTTGGTCTTTTTGAGACAGGGTTTCCCTGTAGCTCCAGCTGACCTGGAACTCACTATGGAGACCAGGCTGGCTTAGATCTCACAGAGATCTGTCTGCTTCTGCCTCCTGAGTGCTGGCAGTAGAGATATGCACCACTATGCCCAGCCCAAGTTTGTGATTTTCCACCAAGAAATGATGCTTGAGTTGAATATGTGATCCCAGCTCTCAGGGGACTGAGGCAGGAGTATTACTATGAGCTCAGGTCCAACCTAAAGTACATAGCATGACTCTGTCTCAAAAAGAAAAAAATCATGTTGGATAAAATACCCATACTGTCATTGTATCCCACAAGAAAGACAACGATGCACCATGTAGGATCACAACATTCTTTGGGAATAAAGGAGGTCCCTGTAAGTACATTTGTCTTTCAGGAAAATTCTTGTTTTGTTCATTTGGTGTCAGGAGGGGAAATGTATTCAAGACTAATCCTTGCTCCTGGAACTGGGGAGCTAGTGTCCAGAGGAGGTCCTCTGGCCCAGAAGCTCCCAGGTTGGTGGCTAAAAGGTCAATGAAAGGGAAGACAGACGAGGAAATCAGGGATTTTTTTACAACAGTATAGGTTTAATCCCAGAAAGCCTGTGGGAGGGAGGTCTCTAGATGCGGGGTACCAGAGAGCTCACTGTCCGCTTACAGACTAGGGAGAGTTATAGAAGGGAAATGGGGGGGGGCAAAGAGATGGGTGAGCAGTTAATAAAGGATGTCAGTCAGGCGTGGTGGCTCATGCCTTTAATCCCAGCACTTGGGAGATAGAAGCAGGTGAGTTCAAGTTTGAGGCCAGTCTGATCTACAAAGAGAAAGTTCCAGGCCAGCTAGGGTTACATAGTGGAACCCTGTCTAAAAAAAAAAAGTCAGATGATCAACAAACATCTGTCATGGCCAGCCATTCCCAGGGTGTCTACAGGGAGCCATGGCAGGAATCTCGCAAAACAAATCTGGACTGCTCATTACTGAGATTTCAAGAACCATCACCACTGGCCTGGTAGCACACAGCCACACCTTTAATCCCAGCACTTGGGAGGCAGAGGTAGGTGGGTCTCTGTGAGATTCAGGACAACCTGGTCTACATAGCTTGTTCCCTGTCTAAAAAGAAAAAAGAAACGGTCACCATTTAATCAAAATGACTCATTTCTCTGGTCCTGTAAGGGGACATCTCTTTTGAGAGTTTTGGTCCCTTCTGGGAATTCATGCCTGTAAGAGCCTCTCAGTGCCTCCCAGACAGACTAGACTAGACGCAGACGGAATGAGAAAGGATGCTAGACCCTGGTTTGTATCCTGTGATCCTTTCCAAAATGACATGACTGTGGCTAACATTCTTGATGTTTTTTGTAATAGATACGTGGGAAAGAGGGTTCAGTCTTTTTGTGTACAGTTTTTTCCAGAGGGATGGACACTTCATCAGGAGGATGTTGAGGCAGACTCTCGTATCCAAAATTCTGTAAAAAAAGCATTTTGTCCACATGTCCTTTGGTGGTATCCTGGATAAAAGACCTCATTCTCTGGGATACAAAATGAGCCAGACAATTAAGAAGACAAGGTCCAAAAATAATCACGATCAGGATAAAGAGAAGGGGTCCCACAAAGGTACCCAACCAGGAGGGCAGCCAGTAACCTAGGCCAGCCAATGGGTTCCAAGAGTTGATGCCTGGGCGGAGTTCCGCTGCTCTTTCCCAGAGCCTCTTCGCTGCATCTCGCACTACTCCAGACTGGTTTACATAGAAGCAACATCTTTCTTGAAGGAAGAGACAGGTGCCTCCTTTTTCAGCAGTGAGGAGGTCCAAAGCCCTGCGGTTCTGAAGAACAACACCTGCCAGCGAGTCTATTTGATTTTGGAGGGTGATAATTGAAGAGGCTATTTCATCCAGGCTATCTGAAAGCGCCTTAGAAAGCTGTTGGAAATAGATGGTGGATGAGGTAATGCCAGCAATGCTGATACCTAGGGCAGTAGAGATGCCCAGGCCCACAAGGAGTGGGAGTAGCTGAGGGACTCTCTTCTGGCGAGAGTTCGAGAGAGAGGAGGAAACAGAAGCAAGAAGGGGAACGGTTACCGTTTGGTTACTTGGAAGGAGTTCAATGTCTGGGTATTGGAAGACAAGGGTACAGACACCAGACCAGTTGGTGGGGAGACAGACATAAGTCGAAGTTCCACATAGGAAGAAAATTCCCGAAGTGTTGTGACAGAAGGAATAGGATAAGTTAAGAAGGCGTGAGAAAATGTTTGGGGTGATGTACCAGTTATTGTGAATAGTGACTTCGTTTTCCCAGATCCCATATTGTCCAGATAGGGCAGCCCCAGTAAGGGGTTGGTACTGGAACAATAGATCGGGTTCCTTTTGTCCCTGGAGTGCAATCCGGAAGTGCTTACTATCCACAGACACAGTGATAGGGTTACTTAAGCTGTGGGGTTCGAATAGGGTTAGGTTATAGCAGGTGCTGGGGTGAAACGAAGGACAGTGTCTCCAGGGGGTGACGGAGGAGGTGTGACAATATGTACCATCTGTTCTGCAGGGATAGGAAGATTGCCCCAAGGAGGTTAGGGAAGGGGGCCCTGAAAATCGGAAGGGATTTTTCCACTTAATACCTTGTATCTTCTTTAATTCCATAAATGTATAGGTGTCAGACAGGTCTAGGGTTTGGTGATCGGCAGAGGGTGAAAGATGAAGGGTGTGATTGCAAAGAGAGGAGGAGAGATTGCCCACGAAGGTGGCGTAGGCTGGGACCTTAAAGAAGCGGGCTATGCAGAGAGGGGCCTGTGAGGTGAGGAGGGTCTGGGTAGACAATGGTCCCCATATGGGGTGTGGGGAAGATTCTAAGAAATCTTGATTAGGGTAGATCACAGAGGTGAGGCGGGTGATTAAGGGAAATAGCCCTCTTAGATTGAGGAGTTGAAGTAAAGCAATAGCCCTCCGCTCAGGATTTCGAAAAGAGTAAGCTGTTAATGGGTCAAAAAACCTGAGGCGTCTGTCAAGGTCAGTGATGGGAAAGGGGCCCTGGAGGGATGGGGCGGAGTAGGTGATATAGAGTTTCATGGGTGAGTCTGTCCATGTAGTAAGAGGGGCTGGGACAGCTAGAGACTGCTGGGTTTGTGTGGACAAGCAGACCCAACAGTTTGGTAAAAGAGAGGAATTAGTGTCTCGTAGGAGGCGATGAGTGAGATTTACGAGGGGCCCCCAGCTATCAGAATAGGGAGAGGAGAAAGTGAAAAGGGGGGAGAGGAGGAAACAGAGTATCCAAGGGCGGATCATGGATCTTCTGGACTGCCCAGCAGTAGTGGGATGCACAGGAAGGCTGATCCTGAATGGGCGCTGAGGCCTGTCACTCACTCAGTCCAGGGATGGCCAGTATGTCAGGGCAGTTCCGGGTTGGACAGGTTATATTCAGGTAGGTTGGACCTGTGAGGGAAGAGGCATAAGCAGGAACGGGGGCTTCTTGGAACGATTGGGAGTTTTAGAGTCAGGTCTTTTGAGCTCAGATTGATGAAGTCAGTAAGAGGGGCCCTTTACCTTAGCTGCTGTCAACCTAAGATTGACAAGATAATCTTAATGATCTGTAGTCAAGAGTCCCTGCAGGTACTAATCATTTTAGCTATAGAGGTTGGGAAGAGGCAGAATTGTAGGAGCCCTCGCCCCAGTGGAGATCCAAGGAGACTGCAGGGTGGGGACCATGTCAGGAACGCATTTGTGATCAAAAAATTATAGAGTGCGGGGCTAGAGAGATGGCTCAGCAGTTAAGAGCAGTGGCTGCTTTTGCAGAGGACCCAGGCTCTGTTCCCAGCACCCAGATGGAAATTAACGACAGTACATAACTCCAGTTCCAGGAGATCCTGGAAGGGCTTCTTCTGGCCTTTGCAGGCATTGCATACACATGGTGCTCATATATATATATATATATATATATATATATATATATATGCAGGCAAAAACTCTCATACACATAAAAAAATAAATACGTTAGAATAGACATAGGCTGACTGAGTCAACAGAAGGAATTTTTATTACTTTATCATTTGTAAGATGGGAATTTTTATATTAAGACTGAAGTTTGAAAATAAAATAAATATAAATTGTAAAGTGAGTCTGGTTAGATGTAAGGCAGGTCATACATCTAGGAAGTCAGGTGTGGTGCTTGGCAAAGGATGCTTAGGGATGGGCCTGCTGTGAGTTCAGACATGCTGAGGTTGAGGGCTTTCTGGGAATAGCTCATAGTGAAAGAGACCATCCCTCCTTCCTTTCTTTCTTTTTAAAAATATTTCATTATTTTTATTTTATGTATCTAAGTGCACCTGTATTGTGCAATGCCTTCAGGGGTCAGAAGAGGGTACTGGATGCCCGGGAACTGGAGTTTCAGATGGTTGTTAGCTGTCATGTGGGTCTTCTGCAAGAGTAACCAACCAGTGCTCTTCACTGCTGAGCTATCTCTCCAGTCCCCTTCTTTCTTTTTTGAGACAAGGTCTCACTATATAGCACTAGATGACCTGGAACTTTCTATGTAGACCAAACAGGCCTCGGACTCAGAGATTCTCCTATCTCTGCCTTCTCAGTGCTGGGACTAATGGCAAGCTTCACCATGGCTGACCCCTGGCTACTTCTTTTTTTAAATATTTATCTTATGCATATGCATATTTGACTGCAAATATTTGCTAGTAAGTCCACCCCATGCATGCAGTGCCTGTGGAAGTCAGAAGAGGGTATGGAACTGGAACTGGAGTTTCAGAGCCGAACCCCTGTCCTCTGCAAGAGCAGCCAATGCTCTTAACCACTGAGCCGTGTCTCCAAGAGATAGGTCTTGAGTAAGGTGAGCAGAGGTTGATGTCCTATGTGAAACTGATCATGTGGAGCAGAAAGGAGGGTCAGCTCTTGAGTGGAAGGAGCTGTCGTTGGGAACATACCAAGATTCTTTGGGCATGATCCCTTTTTCTCTAATTGGAGAGCCTTATTGGGGGCAGGTATAGGCTGAAATGGGACAAGGGCTGCATGGATGGATAAGGAGTTGGCAGAGGCTGCAGCTGACCAGAATTAGGAGAATTGGAAGTATGTGAGGTGCAGGCTGACTACTTGTTTGGCTAGGGTGTAGGCTCGGGTGTTGCCTTGGGCTATCAGGGGCCTCTGCGGTGGATGACTGTTGTTGCCACAGGCAGGCAGGTGACCTGAAGGAATTTGTGGATTCTTTTGCCATTCATTACAAAGAAGTGAGAAAAACCTCTTCCTTGCCAGATTAAGGAATGACAGTGGAAACTGTATCCATGTTTAGAGTCCGTGCAGACATTAACCTTTTGGGTTTTTGTTAGTGTCAGGGATCCACTTGCTGTTAGGTGTTTTAGGGGGAAGGGATAGGGTTTCTAAAGCTGTCACCAGGGACAATGACAGAGCCTGCAACTGGGTGGGGTTCCTTGAAAGTGCACCCACCAATATACCAGTGAGGGGTCTGGGCAATAAGAGCATCTGAAAGTGACTAAACGAGAGTGGTCAAGGGTCAAGAAAATCAATGCAAGAGTAGGGGGTCTAGGGGCTGGAGAGATGCTCAGTAGTTAAGAGCACTGACTATTCTTGCAGAGGACCCAGGTTCAGCTCCCAGTGCCCACAGGGTGGATAACAACCATTCATAACTCCAGTTCCAAGAGATCTGATACCTTCTTCTGACCTCCTTGGGCATTATAGGACACAGGTGCAGTTACATACATGCAGGCTTTACACTTGTGCACATAAGATAAAAATAATAATTTTTTTAAAAAGAGTTCCTCTGGAGGGCTAAAATCTGTAGAAAGAAAAGGAACTAGATTGAGAGTCTTATAGTTACCAAGCATAATGTCACATGCCTTTAATCCCAGCACTCAGATGGCAGAGGCAGGTGGATCTCTGCGAGTTCTGCGAGTTGAAGGCCAGCCTTGTCTACATAGCAAGGTCCAGGCCAGCTGAGGCTACAGGGAGACCCTGTCTTGATAAGACAGAGAGAGAGAGAGAGAGAGAGAGAGAGAGAGAGAGAGAGACTTATAGTGTCGAAAGGTAATTCAGGAGTTTTATATAAACAGCATATCTTGCCTTTAATCCCAGCACTCGGGGGACAGAGGCAGGTGGATCTCTGAATTCAAGACCAGCCTGGTCTATATAGTGAGTTCCAGGCCAGCTGGGGTTACAGGGAGACCCTGTCTCAAAAAGACCAAAATAATAAAATAAATAAATAAATAAATAAATAAATAAATAAATAAATAAACATCATGTCCTAGTTTGCTTCTCTATCTCTGTGATAAAACACCAATCAAAACCAACTTGAGGAGGAAAGGATTCACTTCATCTTATAACTCCCAGGTCATAGTCTATCACTAAGGGAAGTCAAGGCAGGAATCTGGAGGCATGAACTGAATCAAAGACCATGTAGGAACACTGTTTACTACCTTGCTTCCTCTAACTTGCTCAGCTACATTTCTTACACAGCCCAGGCCCACCTGCCTAGGGATGGTACCACCCACACTGGGCTGGGCCCTCCTATATCACTTAGCAATTAAGAAAATGCCACAGGCCAATCTGATGGAGGAAATTCCTCAGTTGAGGTTCCCTCTTCCCAGGTGCCTCAAGTTGACAAAAACTAACCAGCACACAGCATGTGTATCTGTTGAATGTAAGAGGGAGAGAAAATGGATGGTGGCAAGTAGAGATAATGATGGGATGGTAGAATGTCCATTGAAAGGGAGGCAATCACAAGGGTTTTAAAGCAAGAAAGGTAGCCCTGCACCACAAGTCTAACTGCTTAGGTAGGTAGGCTAATGCTGGTGTTCTTCTTTAAAACTGGCAGAGGAGACCTAGGTCTGAGTTAGGAGAGGAACCCTAAGGCAAGAGCACTCAGAAGGCCTATTTCAGCTTTGGTAATGAGGGTTAGATAGATGGGAAAGGATCCATAGTTTCTCTAAGAGGCCCGGTAAAGAGGTTTAGCTAAGATCTCCAAAGTTGAGGAGCCAGATACAAAAGAAAGCTGCTAGGCCAAGTAAAGGGAGAATGCTACACTTATTTTGGGGGGAAGAGTGTCCTGGATTAGAGCTTTGTGGGTTTGAGATATGACATGGAAAAAGAAGGTCAGAATGAGACCAAGGTATGTCACTTGGCAAGAGGCTATCTGGCCCTCAGAGGAGAACATTCAGCATCCAGAAAATTAGGGAGAGTAGTGGTATATGGTAGAGACAAGCCATAGGACTGCAGAGGAGGCCAGAGGAGGGTGCAGGGAGCAAGAATGAGGATTAGCAGGTTGTGAACAAGACCCTGACCAAAAAGATGAGGGCTACTGCAAGTCCTGGGGTTAACCAGGTGGACATTTGGATGTCAGGGCCTATCCAGGTAAAGGCAAAAAGGTCTTGATCAGAAGGGTCAGAGGAACCATAAAGAAAACATTATAGCTGGGCGTGGTGGCACATGCCTTTAATCCCAGCACTTGGGAGGTAGAGGCAGGTGGATCTCTTTGAGTTCAAGGGCAGCCTGGTCTACATAGTGAGTTCCAGGACAGCTGGGGCTATAGGGAAGACCCTGGCTCAAAAAAAAAAGCATTATGGGGACTACAGAGATGGCTCAGTGGTTAAGAGCACTGATTACTCTTGCAGAGGACCTGGGTTTTATTTCCAGCCCCCACATGGTGGTTAACAACCAACTGTAACTCCAGTTCCAGGGAATCCAATGCCCTCTTCTGACCTCTACGGGCACATTGCACACAGGTGGTGCACTTACATATATGCACACAAAATACACACATAAAGTAAAAATAAATAAAATCTAAAAAATAAAAATAGAAGTTAAAAAAAAGAAAGCATTTTGATGGGCATGGAGATACCCCAGATCCAAGGATGAACTGACAGTATGATAGTATAAGAACGGTAAGAGGGTCCCTAAGAGCGGGTGTCTGAGCATCTGGACCACAAAGTAGCAAGGATGTTGCTTTATGAGGGCTCTTTGAGTGTGAGGGAAAGACAACAGAAGCACAGAGCTTTTCTTTTCTTTTCTTTTCTTTTTTTTTTTGAGACAGGGTCTTTATGTAGACCAGACTGGTATCAAACTCACAGAGATCCACCTGCTCTGCCATCCCGAGTGCTGGGATAAAAGGAGTGCACCACCACACCCCAGCCAACATGGAGCTTTTCTACAATGCCACATTCCTGGAGAGGGACTGAAAAGCAGGGAATGATGACGAATGGGAAAAGGAATGCCCAGGTTGTACAGTCTGTTTGAGTTTGATATGAGTTGCCTTTTAGCCACTTAACAGAGAG